ACTAGTCAATCATAGTGGATCACAACTACCCCCTGACAAATTTCTAGTGTCAAATCACACTTTTTTTTTTCTCAACTCTGAACCAATTATTTAAACTCTCATTTGCTCTAAAGGGCAATATGCCTCAATTAGATATCTTAGTAAGGGGCGCAGAGGTTGTAACAACGTACAAATCCACCAAAAGTGATAACTTAGCGAATTAAGTCAACCACCCCAGCAAGTAGGCTCAAATGTTATGCAACTTCCAGTACCATACTTGCCAACCACCTCTATTGTTTTGCTCATTCGGGTAGGCTGAGTGAAAGGATGGCTAAAGTAACTAAAACATATATCACCACCCCCCCACCCCCTCCCCTCCATTCTAAACTGATCTCCCTGCTAGTCTTCAGAACGGAGATTAATGAAAATAGTAGGGGCAGCCCTCAGGAATGTAGATGAGAATAAATAATTGTAAGGGGATAAAGAGGAAAAATTAGTAAGATAAAAGTGCTTGAATTATGAGTAAGTGATAGGAAGAAATTTTGGGACGGATTCCTTCTCAACCTATTCAAAATCAAATCCAAGAATAAACCACACTATTCCTGATGTATTTTTTCCTTTCCCCCATTCATGATCATGGGTTTAGGGGAGTAGCTTGGGGAGGCCATCCCCTATCTTTATACGAGAGAGAACAACGACAACAACAGATCAAAGATAAGTTTCATTTTTTTTTTTGGCAAAAGCTAACAAAACGAATGCAGTGGGGTCGCAGGACTAGAACTTGGGACCTTTAAATCCAATAAGTCAATCACTACCAGAAGGACCAGACCTCATTGGGTTTCTGAGTTTGGATGATAATAATAATAATTCAGATAAAGACATATCACAGAGATTATGCACCTCTCCAAAGGATGGCTAGCAGGATTTAGCTGCCTTGAAGTCCAACTTCTTTTAAGAATGATTTCCAAGTCACAATGTACAAAACGGAAAGAGAATTACATACATAACGTACAAGGGAGTTGAATTGAAAAGCAAAAAAATCATGCCAAAATTGCCAATAATAGATTATCCAAACTAATGAAAACATTTTAGTCTTATTGTAGTCTACTTTTTCCACCAGCCAGGGGTCAAATAAGCAACCAAGTCACAAAGATGAGCAGGCACACAGTCAGGAGTCTATAACAATATTCCGGCCATAGATGAATTGAATTGCAAGCTTAGTAGTTGTACTAAGTACTTATTAAAATAAGATTTTCTAAGACACATGAGAAAGAGAATTGACATCAGAGGGGCCAAGAAATAAAAGATTGAAAAGATTAAAAAGCCATTTTTGCTGCCTACTCTCTGGAGCTGAATTCTCCAGCCTCCTCATCTCCCTATCCCTCATTCAATGAAACCACATAACAGTACCTAATACGAGAACAATCTTTGTTGTTCATATTCTAGCACACAAAATAGGAGAGCAAGGTTAAGACATGGCACATACACACGGATTATGCTCAAGATAGATAGTGGTAATCGTCTCCCTTGAACCAGCAACCGCCTCAGCCATACCCTCCAGAGAGGCAATCTGGTTATCATTCAGCCACAGATCTTCCAACCTGAAAAACAATATATTTGGTAAAAAGGACATATTTATGTTGTGGACAGATGGCCAACCACCAGTTTTATGTATAGTGCTTGGTACTTAGTGCTTAAGATAATCGATGTACCTTGTCAACTTTTCAATATCCTCTATTGATGTTAACTTATTTGATGCAATATCCAAGACACGGAGGTTTGCCAAAGTTGATAGCCCTTCCATTTTTGAAATTCCATTATGGCTTAGATATAATTCTTCAAGGGCTACACATTCCTACAATTTTGTTGTTGCAACAGAAAAAACATAAAAAGCAAGAATCTCAAAAAGGGACAAAGTGCAATCTACTAATCTGACAACGATTAGGGGTAAAAAAAAGCATACCTCAAATCCTTTCATTGATGTCAAGCGGTTGCTCTGCAAACTAAGTTTTTTAATGCATTTTAATCCACATAAGTTGACAGTTTTAATCCGATTTCGACCGAGCCATAACTCTTGCAGGTTAATCAAAGTTTCTAGATTTTCCATCACCTGGGAAAGGAAGTTATAGTTACAGATATTGGGGGCACGTTACTAACTTTTAGAAAACCTCAACCCTCACTCCCTCACATTTATTATATGTCTGCAAGCAATCTAGAATTCTCTGCAGTAATTGCACAGCAATTAGCTGATAAAATGTATAGGACACATACCCGCAATCTATTGGAGCCAAGTTCGAGAATTTGCAGCTCATGAAAATGCTCAATTTCCTCTATCTTAGTGACTTCATTTTTGGACACATAAAGTTCTCTGAGAGTGTTGGAGACCTTTGACAACCCACTTGAAGAGGGTATCTCATTGAAAGATACATCAAACACCAGAAGATTCTTAAATATGCTGACATCAGGTATCTTTGTAAGTTTGTTGTCTCTAAGTACCAGCTCCTACATACATGAATAACAGAAAAGGCTGAATTGCAGTTGCAAATAGTGAAAATTCAGTGAGTGTTAACTTATCTTATATGTGAATTCAACCGTATCAATATGCTCAACAAAGTTAACAAAGAATCATAACAGCCATCAGCCGATGTGACACCAGCCAAAACCAGAAGTTGTGATATAATATAAAACAATCATGATGAAATGACAAGATAAAATTCCATTACAAAATAGCATTTATGTACTGAAACGACATCCTCACAATAGGAAAGAATACAAAAAATATCATTACCAAGAAAACCCTCCTTTAAATCACCCCCATCATAATTAATAGTCTACACTCTACACAAAGTTGCAAAGGGTCAACTGACAGTCATCAGCCACCTTACTATGACTCTATGAGGGGTCACATGGCCAAGCTTATCCACTGGTGTTGCTAAGAACTCATTGTCTCGAGGCCATATACTACTTTTCCACTGGTGTTGCTAAGAACTCATTGTCTCGAGGCCATATACTACTTTTCCACTGGTGTTGCTAAGAACTCATTGTCTCGAGGCCATATACTACTCGCCTCAATAAGGACAGGAAATCATACGATCATATTAAAATTAACTCTGGCTCCTATAGTCCTAAAACTCCTAATTGTAGAAGATGCTTATAGTCTTTTACTCCCACTTGATAGATACCCTCTATATTAAAAATTTATTAACTTTGGAGACATACCTAATAAAAATTGACAATGTACAGTTGTATACTAATCACCAAGTCAACATAACAATTATTATGACTTGATATAAATCCCGAAATTGAAATAAAGTAAAAACACACAACTAATAAATGGTTGCTACTTGCTATTATAATAGTAAAGAATGGGTAAAAAGGATGCCTTCCAAATAGAAAGAAGAGGCAATGCTTTAACAACAACAGTGATCGGTAAAGCATAAAGCTAAAGTCTTTATATATAGAAAGGGCAAGGTCTAACAGCTAACAACAGTTAAACGAAGCAAAAAGAGATTATGATTCTTCATAGAGGTAGTACACAGCATTGGTCAAAGATGGAGTGTAAACTAATTCTCTACACTGTGCCTCACTCCTTCAACAAAACTTAGACATAATCACATAAATATATCTCTCTTTTTCTCTCCAAATGCACCATCTCACATTGCGATAGACGAAGGTGAATTGGAATTTCTTCTAATTGTAATACCACTATTACATAGCATTAAACATTCCTAGCTATAACAATCCACTGACACCTGAACTTGAGGTTTTCCCAAATCATCCAAAATAAGCACAAATTAATGGAACTTAAAACCAAGGCGAGAATTTAAGAAATGCTACACAAATTATAATTGAAGCACCTGATCAACAAAATACCCAAAAAGGGGGGGAAATTCATAAATTCAAAAATTTACACAAACAAATTAAAAATCGATGAATTGATTATCAACAAAGAAAAACAGACTTTGACATAAAAATAGAGAAAATGCAAAATTTACCTCGAGCCCAGAAATGGCATGAGCATTAGAGAGAGGCTCAATGCCGGCATCATCAAAGAGATTCTGACGAAGAGAGAGCTTTTTGAGGTGAGAGAGAAGAGTAACTCGAGGATCCAATTGAGAGAGACGATTAGCAGTCAAGTCTAACTCGACAAGACTCGGAGGAAACTCGACTGAGTCGAGGTCATGGAGCTGGTAACTCGTTAGATCGAGTGAGGTGATCGTCTCCTCCTCTTCGTCGGCGGCGGATGCGGCGGCGGTTGTAGGGAGGTGATCGTCGGAAGATTCCGGTGGAGGAATTAGGGTTTGTTGATCTTCCATGGGAGAAAGCTTGGAGGAGAGAGAAAGATGGTGGGTTGTTTGTGTTGTTAGAAAGGCTAGTAGTAAACCTGGAAAAATGAAGAAATGTTGAGGAATTAGATTATTGTTGATTAACGAAGCATATGCTTATGCCTTATTCGATTTACTACGTATGTTCCGAAAGACGTATCTTATGACCTGTAACCTGTTAGTTTGTTCTCGATTTTCTAAGTAGTCATAGAAATGACCGCATTATTTTGGGATGAGGGAATATTTAATAGACATTATATGTCATATTTGTTGTTCTTTCTAAGTTGAATTACGGTTTCACATTATTCATTGGGTCGTTGCTTGTTGCATTCGAGATTTCGAGCTAACTGTTTTGCAAGGAATTTGGTTATATTTACTATTTAGGCTTCACTAAAAGCTAGAGCTTAATGAATGACTATATTGACAATGACAATAATTATAGCTCTAAGCCTAACACTAGATTGTCTAGCAACCCAATAACTAATTTTCACTCTCATAGTCATTATGGATCATAAAACATGTACTGTAGTCGGCTACTTAAATTAAATTAAACCAAAACTCTAAGATCATGCCTTAGAAAACAATTTCATATTAACGATTATTGAAACTTAGCTTATTTCTAAAATAAAAATAAAAATAAAAATTAAAAAAAAAAATAATCTCATCTGCCAAAAAAAAAAAAAAAAAAAAAAAAAAAAAAAAAAAAAAAATTCAAAATTGACAATACCCACAGTATCTGACTATCTGTATATCCTTGTAACAGTAGAGTAAAATCTTTGAATACACTGGCTGAGTTTCTGCATACAATGCAAAAGATCAATCTTGGGGAGCCTCAGTACTGTTCTTATTCAGCCTTTCTTTGCACGGGTGGCCATTGCTGCTGCAGGTTTTTGTACATACTTGAAAGAAGGTAGATGCTGTACACTAGGATGGTCTTGTCGCCTGCTTTAACAACTGGCTATTTGATGCAAAAGATTGACATTCTTAACGTACAAATTCAGTTTCCAGAAACATTTTGAACACATTTGACAGTTCTGAACCAAAAGCACAGCCTTATCAGCAGCAAGCCAGCAACATAGAGACATGTGAATCCTGTAGTTCAGCAATCTGGCAACCCAGTAAAATTAATTACTTTAAATCATCTGGATATGATGGAAGTTTCTGCAATTTGGCATGAAGGTCAAGTGTATAGAGGGGGAGAAAAAACTATTCTAGCAGGATTGTAGATGAGAATAAATATTTTAAGTCCTCAAATTCTGCGCCTAATCCAAGTACAGCACACTGCAAATTACTAACAACCTACAGTATATGGGGTAACGAACCTCCTCAATGTTCTACAGATTGGCTTTAGTGTCTATTAAATTAAATAAAAAGGTATTGAAGTTTTAATGGCACAAAAAGAAGCAGGGAAAAGATAACAGTCACTTGTAAAACAAATACAGAGTAAATCTTTGACAAAATCTTGGGGAAACAACACTCCTGATTTACATGCAAGCAATCATAGAGGATTGTGCAGGATAGTGGTCATCCTATATGCTCCAAATAAGGACATACATAGACTGAATGAATGAAGTAGCTAATTAACTCGACACAATCAGAGTGAACTTAGTGATATGCACAAGTGATGATTGCATATCAATGCTGACTGCATATGCATAAACAGATTAAAGGAAACTGTGATACATTCAAATTGGCCAAGATCAAAAGCAACCCCAGTGCCTAATAAATGGTCTAAAACTGCCCTTTGTCTCCCATCCACGTCCAACAACACCCCCGCCCACAAAAAAATCCTACAACTGCCCTTTGTCTTCCATTAGTTTTTGGAATTCTAATGTAGAGGATAAACAAATTAATCTTGATATCCATGAGAGAATCATATACCTTGAAGATCTGAAGGATGTTTGACATGTACTACACTTTATGGGATCATGTTCACCAGCTACAGATCTCTGTTAGCAGTTACCATTTTCAACAACTTAGCAAGATCATACGCCTTGAAATCTTTTCCATAAGCTATGCTCAGATCCAAAGGTGTCCTTCCATCCTAGAATACAAATGAGTACAAGCAGATCCATTAGTTTTAAAACTAGATCTAAATGCAAACGATACTGGCTTTAAATTTCAATAACACATACAACAACTATTTTAAAGAGTACATAAAAGGTTCAGGCATTTGAGGTATTTTATGTGGACAATAAACTCCCCATGAGTTAGCTTAGTATAGTAGAGAAGAGTAAATGAAGGTTAAGGTCATTTACGGTGGACACCAATCTCTTCAAAAGTTGGCTTATATAAAAATATTTGTCCACTTGGCACTTCTAAACAATTGATGCATATCATCATTTTGTAAAATGGACCATGGTTAAATTTGCTTTACATGTGTGTGTACATATGCACATGCATTCATTGATCAACAGACTGTTGGAATTAAACATATTGCAAGAACATATTCAATAATTGACAATACGTTTTGTATCTAGCTAAATATTGATCCTTGTTTACAATTCACAGATTTCACAATTTGTACAGCTAATTTCATTTTTCCTAAGGTGTATATTCCTCTAAAAATTTGATTTGTAATGAATTGTCTCCCATCTAAAAGATATTTGTAAATTTGTGTTAAAAATTAAGCACAATTTTGCACAGAAATAACACAATTTTTTCTAAAGAACAGAGGTAACATTTGTTTTCTTTTCTTCTTTTTTTTTAGGGGGTTGGGGTGGGAAGGGTAACACTAACAATCACCATTAGTAAGCAACACAGCAATCATTAAGAAAGAACCAACATGTCTGTAGAATGAAAATAATACCATCAAAATAGAAGATGGCAAGGACTTCCCTGACAGACTGAAGGAATAACATAATTCATATTGGCTTTGGGAAAAGTAAGCATCCTTTCTACAAGTTGGGAGCTAACACACAGAGTGCATATAAACAAATGTGTGAGACGTTCATCTGCAGACTCATAAAAGACATCACAATCTGCACTTAGGACACCTACTCAATTTCCAGAGAGCTATTAGGTAAAAGATCTCCTCAGGCTTAAGATAATTGGACTTCTATAAATTGTAAAAGCAAGCCATTTTAGTAAGGATTATTCTCATTGTCCTATCCCACAAGTCTAAATTTAATTGCATGATTTAAAAACCCCTCACTCAGTTGATGTAGCTTAAGTTGACATGTGTGACACGCCTACCCTTAATTTATAATCCATATCAAAAGAAAAAGTTGAGAGCATTCACATCTACATTGTACTTGATAAGTAATTTCACGTACAGACACATGGAAGTTCAATGTTTCCAAGAATGTGAGTCACGTCTTACATGTCAAGCTATTAGATATCAGATGATACATGGTCAATGGATTTACCGTATTTTTCCTCATTTTATCTGCACCATTTACTAACAAGATTTTTGCAATGTCTCTGTTTCTACTTTGCATGGCAACATGTAAGGGGGTCCACCCTTCCTGTTAATGGGAATTGAAAACAAAGTTAATGAGCTCAGTTAAGATGCAAAAAAGTTGCAGGACGAGAAACAAATGCATACTTACATTGTCAGAGGCATTCACATCTACATTGTACTTGATAAGTAATTTCACAGTCTGTATGGCACCAACTTGAACTGCATAGTGAAGTGTGGTGACACCATTCTATAGCAAATAGCATATAGTTATTTCATGCAAGTTAAAGAGTCTACGGCAGACATTCAAAGGCAGATTTACCTTATCCTTAATATGAGGATTGGCACCTTTTCTTATGAGATGACTAATAACAGCTTCCTTCTTACCAATGATGCTGACATGTAGAGCAGTCAGACCATCCTGCTCATAAAATCTTTGATGTTAATGCATGAAAGATCTCTAGCCAGAGATAATGTTACATATTAAATTAAGCTGACCTTGTCTGGAAGATCAATGTTGACACCATTTTCAAGTAACTGGTCAAGAAAATGAATTTGCCCTGACAATGCTAGGCAGTGAAGAGGACTCCATTTTGCCTACACAGTATTTAAAAATTCAGAAAATCTTGAACTAATCTATAATCTAGGAAGCATAAAGATTCAAAGTAAAGCACAGGGATAGCTTTGGATACTTCCAAATACTTACAGTTGATATTTTCTCAAGATTTGGATCTGCATTTTGTTGCAAAATTAGCCACTCCTCTGGTTCCAAGAAATGCTCAATCTCTGAAGACCAGTCATTGTCAATGTTTAAAACACAAGAAGAATTCTGGGTGATGTTTAAACATGAAAAATACTCAAATAAGTCAAGCATATAAAGCTGCTTCAAATTCTCAAACAATGATTAACATTGCAAAGATGGGTTCATATATACCTAAACCTATTTCCTTAAGCATACCATCTAGAAAGATAAATGGGACTTGTTTATCTTAATTGTTTTGAATACAAGAACACGCACACACAAGATGTTTGACATCATGTAACATTATTGAATTAGCCACATAGACATTTTTTACTAGGTTTCAAAACATATACTTCGTATACATAATAATATAATACTTTGTATGCTACAAGACACTTTCAGGAATGTGCAAGGTCAGTTATTACAATGAAATCTGGATTCAATGCAATTGAGATTTTTTATGTTTTATTGATCTACCACACATTATAAAAAGCATACTTGCTTCTCTTAAATGAGCAGGAATCCTACAAACTCAAATAGAAAGAGTTGAGTCCTTGCAATAATTATTGCACTCATTTAACAACAGCGAAAAGTTGAAATCCACGACAACTTGGTGCATGAGACCAACAATAATGCAGTATGGATACCTCCAATGGTTGGGAAGATCCAAACAGATTTTAGGCTAACCTGGTGTAGAGCAGGGATTAGAGAAATTAAAGTATCACTATAGCTAGATTAATAACAACCAAAGTTATTAAATCGATTGTTAAGTTCTATTGCCTCATAATCCAAGCATACGATGGTTTGTAAATCCACTTTAATTTCAATATAATTTGTCTCATATGAGTTACTAACTGATTGTAATTCTGGCAGCAAAGCTCAATTGTAATGAGCTCATTATAATTCAATATGTGCCATAAATTAATCATATGTTCTGGTTAATTGCATATACATAGATCATATCCTTTGTGACCCACATACATTTTTTTTTTTTATTTACTCTGTAACATGCAATAACATCAGTAATGAAAAATGCACAAATCATGATACGGTCTATTTCAATGTTTGAGTGAACTCATTCACCAGTCCTGATGATGGAGTGTGACAGAGGCTTATCACTTACGTAGTTCCCTTAAGACATTTTCTAATCAACATTTTCAGGAGGAACTAGAACCAGGATGATGAGGAAAACAATTTCTTACAACTTGTTTAAATTGTGAAATGTTTACTGGATGAATGCTGCAAAACTTTTAAGTTTTTCCAACTTACTGTAAAATCCTTTCTTCTATCTCTCCTTATTACATCCTGTATTACACAGAATCTCAGTGGGGGTACTAGAATTGACTTAAAACATATACATTCATTACTCCCTATGTCCTTAAGAGTATGCACCGTATTCTTCTTTAGAATGTGCCCTAAAAGAATGCTTCATTTTCTTTATAGTCATCATGTAGTCCCATTGCTTTACTCTTCCATCAACATGTGGTCCTACTGCTTTGCTTTAGGGAAAGGGCTAGTTACAGAAAAACAAAAACAAAAGGAGCACAGATTTAAAACCTTTTGCGAGTTCATCCTCATACTTCATTTCTGCATGTTTTCCAGTAATTGTCGCAACTGAAGAGTCTTTATCTTCTTCCCAGTCACTCTCAAAATCCAAATCATTTTCCTCCGCTTCCTGCTCTTCATCATCATAGTCACTCCCACTTCCATCCTCAGGATCTTCCCATACCCCAACTTTTGAATTGCCAGGACTCTGCCTCGAGCCAACCAAACTGGCTCTTCCTTTTATGTACTTCAGAGTCACATAAGGACGGACAATTCCTTTTCTTCTAAGATTTAAAGGTTTAAGGTAGCCTGTCATGCACCATGAAGTACCTCCTGTTGTTCTAGAAGAAACGACAGGCAACAAAGAAAGCTCTTTAAGAGGCAAGGTTGCTGTAGCCCAAGATGCCATACACTCAGCTTCAACTTGTTCTCGACTTTCGATTATTTGATGCAATCCGCTACAAAATATACACATAGAGACTTCACTAAAAAAACTCAACCCAAGGGGTGAAAGATTACATGTTTATGCATATCCTCAACTACAAGGTAATTCATGGTTAATTGGTTATGCAACCCACTCCATAATTTATGAATTAGGCTTCGATATTTTTATTGTTGTTGTTGTTGTTGTTGTTGTACAAAGCAGGCTTGTCCCTGAGCAAGGGAAGGAGGGGCAACCGCCCTGGCCGGGGAGAAAGGCCCATTTCCGCAGTTTTTCCATTTTTAACATGAAAGGGCTATAAACAAAAGCCTACGAAATTAGGCTAAATGGTTGAAGTGGATCAATGGTAGTGACTCTAGTGAAGCCTTGTTAATCATCAAACCTCTTAAGAGGGGAGATAAACCTTCAAGCCAAGTCCGAGTAGGAGTAGGCTCGGCTCGAGCTCAAGGATTAAAGTAGGCTCGGCTCGAGTTCAATATGATTAAGGCTGGCTCGGCAGCACTTAAAGCTTGACGGGCCTAATAACCCGTGCTTGGCTCAAGTTCCAACATCAAAAAAAGCCTGCGGAATCGATTAGGCTAGAAAAATGCAACACATTAGCAACCAATTTGGACTCAATTATCAAATTATGCTCGAAAAATGCCACACATTAGCAACCAAATTGGACTCACTTATCAAATCAGGCTTGAAAAAATCACATAAAAATCTTCTCGGCTTCTCGCTTAAGCATACCAACGTAAATTGCACATAGCAAAATTACAATCTTTCAACATTTGAGTAAATATAACCAATAGTTCAACAGTGTACCTTATAAGAACCCTAAATTGACTATAATGACTATTAAATCAACGGTAGTGTGAAGCTAAATTCGTTGATTGAAAAAAAAAAAAAAAAAAAAAAAAAAAAAAAAAAAAAAACTTACCTCAGGAACTGCTTCAATGGAGGAAAGAAAGCTCAGAAGCAGCTTCAATAAAGAACTCAGGGTACGCTTAAATGGAGGAGAGAAAGCTCAAGAGTACGTTACAGTGGAGGCAGTGGCGTCACCAGGATTTTCGAAGTGTGGGTTCGAAACTTGGAAAATTTGAAATCGTAATTAACAAAAGGAAAAAAATATAATAATTAAATATTCAGTACATAAATGTCCTTAGCCGAGCTCCTGCCCTCCCCCACCTGGCTTATTCTTTAAGCCACCCCTAGGAAAGGCTAAAGAAAGACCGCATGCCAAGCACATTTCACATAGATAGAGAGAACTCAGAGAAGAAGACTCATCCAACATACCATAGCTACTTAAACTATCTAAAGCCACATAAGGAGAAAAGAGGATTCATCCAACATTCCAACATACCACGATAGTGCAATAAATGTACAAACAGCATATGAAATCAGAAATCCACTTATCCAGAAGGCAGAATACGAAATAGCATATGAAATTCAACAATGTAACATAAAAAATCCCCAAATTGAGAACTTGAGAAGTAAATTAGCAAATTATAACCAATCTTCAACAATTTACAAAAAATCCTTAATTCGTAATGAATATTAGCATAATAGCATATGAATTTCAAGTATTCAACGATTAAGCAAAAAAAATCCCCAAATTGAGAAGTAAATTACTTATTTACATTAGCCAAATTAAAAAAAAAAAACCCCCAATTTCACTTACGTAGACGATGCGAGGATGTGAAGCTCCGGTTGCGGCTGACGTTGGGGGCTCTGCCAAGGAGGAAGAAGTTAGGGTTTTCAGGTTTTGCAATTTGGGGGAATGAGGAAGAGGAATTCAGGGAAGCTGGGTAATTGGGTAAACCGTAACTTTTGAGGAAACAACAAGTCAGTAAACAAAATTAAAAAAAAAAATAAGTCTGAGTGATGGGAGGTAAAAATAACCACTGGGCTACAGCTTTACTCTTTGCCATATATTACACAAATATTCTATTTAAACCTATTTCTATTTTTTTACTTTTTTTTAAAAAAAAAAAGTTTTTAATTTTTTTCAAAAAATCAGCCGCCAGAATCGATGTGCTGGGGTCGTGATTTATTGCGATGTTAGTGGTGTACTGGTGTTGAGGATGGTATTTGTTTGTTGGTGGGGGACTTGGGGATGAATCCACGTTATTGATGAGAAAGGAAGATGGAAGGATGAAGATGACGGAGATAACGAAAGAAAAACTTTTGTCATCTCATCACATGTTATATTCTCAAACAATCAGCAAAGGGGCCCGCTACAATGTCTAAATAATTGCAAAAATGTCATTTGAGAAACACAACCAGTATCTCAATTGAGAAATCGGGGTTTGCTCTGATTTTATGCTGTTGAATTAAGTTTGTTAAAATATCGTCTAAGACTGTAAGTGGGGTTTGTTGAAAATAAAAAATGAGAGTGAATGAATAATATATTTCCTTTTATTTTTATTTGACACATTTTAACTTTTGCATAATTCAAGAACTATACGTTGACTAACTTAATTTGGTGCTGAGGAACTTAATTGGGTTCATATGATGGACTAGACTTTGCGTGAACTTTGTATCTATTCGTAATGTATAAACTACTTCGTATAGATTTAGGGCTTGTTTGACATTGTTTTTGTTTTCAGTTGTTAAATTTTTTCTAAAATAAAAAACCAAAAACAGGAAACAAGGAAAAAATGTTTTCACTCTTCGGTTGTCAGTTTTCATAATTATCATGATACTTATAAGTTTTAACAATTTTTAATTCATCATATGACATAAATCAAATGATTTTTGAAAAAAAAAAAAAAAACAACAACGATACCAAAAAAACCCTAATGTTTTTTTTTTTTTTTAATTTTTTTTTATGCTAATTATATGTGAAAAGGCATAGAAGAAAGAAGAATTTGAGTTAAATGAAAATTAGAAGTCAAATCTGTCAAAAAAAAAAAAAAAAGAAAAAAAAAAAGAAAAACAGAAGTCAAGATTAACGGCAATTATTAACTTCCTCGAATTGCAAGTTGAAAATATACACATGTACCAAGTTCAAAGACTTGAATTTTAAACCTCTCTTCAAAGTTAAGAGGGATAGGAAGATAACACACGCCACTAACTTCATGCATTAAGCTAGTGTAAAGCTCCAATGGAATATACAGTTAACTATCTCATGAAATTCTTGCTATTTCTAGTACAACTGATTTATACTATGGTCTACTATGTCGAGGCAGCTGATGGAATTAAAACATCATGGATTAGGTCAGGTTACTGGTTAACAGTGAGTGCGAATCCGGCTCCTGACATTGATTCTTCTCTCTTCACCCACCTCTATTGTGGTTTCGCCGGCTTAAACTCCACCACTTACCACCTCTCCATCCCTCCATCCGACCTCCAATACTTCGCTTCATTCACCTCCACTGTCAAACGAAACAACCCTTCAATCCAAACACTTCTTTCCATAGGAGATCAAAGTATCACACCCACTTTCTTATCTATGATCTCCAATTCTTCATCTAGGAAGTCTTTTATCAACTCCTCCATTCAAACAGCCTTAAGTTATGGTTTCAATGGTTTAGACATCTGTTGTTTTCTGCCCAACACCACCTCTGACTCCATAAACATGGCAAAACTCTTCAACGAGTGGCGGTCTGCTGTAGATAGTTCTCCTCATGAAAAAAGATTAATCTTAAGCATGGGCATCCATTACTTGCCTACAACTTCTACTTTTGATCATGATAAAAAAAATGGCACCGTCACCATTGATTTCCCTGTGGAAGCAATCCAGAGGACCTTTGATTGGGTTCATATGATGTCATTTGATTATTTTGTACCCCAAAAGGACAAATTTGTCCACCCTCATGCTGCATTGTATGACCCTTATAATCCCCATGCTAATACTGAGTATGGGCTTAACCAATGGATCAGCAAAGGTCTACCAGCAAACAAGATTTTGATAGGGATGCCGTACCATGGCTGGGTATGGACCCTTCTAAATCCGAAGGATAACCAGATTGGAGCTCCGGCTTCAGGTCCGGGTATCACTTCAGATGGGTCACTGGGCTACCGATGGATCAAGAGCTTTATGAAGAGTTATGCAGCTAAGAGCTTGTACAACTCTACTTATGTCGAGAATACTTGCTCATTTGGGTCTTTCTGGGTGGGATTCGACGATGTGGAGGCAATCAAAACCAAGGTTTTGTATGCTAAGAAAAAAGGCCTTCGTGGGTACAATGTCTTTCAAGTTGCTAATGATGATAACTGGGTTCTCTCTCAGGCTGCAGGTAATTCAAATTGTATGGTACAACATTCTGAATGATTTATTTCCCATGTTAAACTGTAGTAACACAAAATAAAAAGGAATATGTTTATCAGCTGATATAGCAGGTGGGAATCAGCTCAGTAAAAGGCAGGTTTTAGTTAAGGTGTTGATACCTGCGGCATGTATCTGCTGTTTCAGCTTAATCTTCTATTTTCTCAGAGCAAGACTGCTTAATTACGCCAGTAAGTACAGTTAAAGCATGACAGGCTTGGCAGCATGAATTTTGGAAATCAGTTGATTTTATTATGAGATAACAAAACAATCATATTTATATTTTTAATTTCTGTTTGGGGTGCTGTGTTCATAGGATCTGTAAGGACAGACACTCAAAACTTCAGTTACGATTCACCAGACGTGAAAGCATTCAGTTTCAAGGATATAAATACTGCCACAGATAAATTTTCATTTCACAGGAAGCTTGGAGAGGGTGGGTATGGACCAGTTTACAAGGTATGCAGACATGCAATGCTTCAGTATCTGAGTCTTGGATTATAGGAGTATGTTTTTAAGTCTTTGTCTGAGAGAATACAGGGAGAGGAAATACCTACAAAAACATAGAAGTTACTGAAACCAATAATGTAGGTCAGGTCAGTTTGATTCTCATAAGCGAATAAGGCTGAGTTTGGTTGAACGGAAAATTCTTTAGAGAAAAAGTAATTTCCCTCCTCATCCCTTCATATAAATACAGCCTAAGTAACATCTTATCCTCTGTTACAGGGCAAATTAAAGACAGGACAGGAAATTGCAGTAAAGAGACTTTCAAAAGCATCAAGCCAAGGATTTGAGCAGTTCAAGAATGAAGTTATGCTCACTGCAAGACTTCAGCATGTAAACTTAGTTAAGGTGATGGGATTTTGCGTGGAAAGAGAAGAAAAGATGCTTATCTACGAATACCTTCCAAATAGCAGCTTCGACTTTTACCTCTTCGGTATAGCTTTTGTTGGACTAAGTTCAACAATGACAGCAAATCTAGTTAATGAACTGCTGTAAACATAGACATAATGTTCTGACAGCTTATAGATTCCTCTGTGTCTTTTAAATCATTACAGATCCTGTGAAAAGTTTGCAGCTTGACTGGGGAAAGCGTGCTCACATCATTGAAGGAATTATTCAAGGCCTTCTGTACCTGCAAGAATACTCAAGGCTAACGATCATACATCGAGATCTAAAAGCTAGTAACATTTTACTTGACAAGGATTTAAATCCTAAAATTTCAGACTTTGGCATGGCAAGAATATTCCAAACAGATGAATATGAAGCAAATACAAGCAAGATTGTAGGAACATAGTGAGTATATGGTTATGCTTGTATTCTTGTTATTCACCAATTATTTAGGTTATACTCGGAAAAAATTAATCATATTTTGGCAGTGGATATGTCCCTCCGGAGTACGTGAAACAAGGAGTATACTCCAGAAAACATGATGTTTATAGCTTTGGAGTGCTGCTGCTGCAAATCATCAGTGGTAAGAGAAATAACCAATTCTATGGTGCTAATGAAGAATACAACCTCTTGGAATATGTAAGTAAAGCAGCCAGCTAAGTTATATAGTGAAATTTAAGTCCTGTATATGGAATATCTAATTTTGAAAAATATATATGGTTGTTGAAAAGGCATATGAATTGTGGAAAGAAGATGAAGGCAAGGAGTTTGTGGATCCATCATTAGACGATTCAAATTCAAAATATAAGCTGATGAGATGTATGCAAGTTGCTCTACTATGCGTTCAAGAGAAGCAGGAGGATAGACCATCCATGTTGGAAATTTCAGCCATTCTCAATAACAAAATTGAACACATTATGAACCCAAAAAGACCGGCGTTTTCCACCAAACCAGATGCAGAGCCAAGTCAGCAACTTCCATGCTCACAACATTTAAATTATTCTAATACTGATTCAGTATTATCTGAGCTTGAACCTCGATAATGTTCCATTGCCTCTCCCCCCCACCCCCTACCCCCACCAAAATTATACTCATTTTTGTTTGTTTTTAGATTTAAATTTAAAAGTTTTTCTGAGTTAATATATTATTAATCCCTCCAGCATGCAAGAAATCCTAAAGATATTGCTGATCCAACTCACGCAGAGGGAAATTCTTTACTTCAAAGGTTTAAAAAACAGAATTCTTATATTCATTTATGCGTGTAGAGGCAAATAAGAGCATACATGAGTTAGCCTTACAATTATTATACTAATCAGCCAAGCAATGCAATGTGCTATAAGCAAAACCACTTACCAGATATTTTCAACATTTAGTCCACATATGTCAACATAAACATTTGTCACTTCAAATCTATAAACATAAGCTCATTTATTTGGTTGATGCCAATATCTGAGATAGGTTCAATAGGCTGATCATCTTCAACAGTTGATGTCTTGAAAATTTGTGGCTCTCTGCTGTGCTCATCTGTCAAGCAAAACAGCACCAAAAGTCATGTCTGATCTCAAGTTCTCAACAATGCAAGTGTAAGGAAAACATTCAGGAAAATTAACGTTCTGTTGCAACTTTACAGCCATCTGAAGTTCTGAATTTCCATAAAAAAGTACTCCAACCATATCTTTTTAGTCTTTACACATTGACCATTTTTCTCACACAAAAAGATTCCAAATGTAAAGATTTAAAAAGAGACACAGGGACTAAAGAATACAGAGCATTACAGAACATAAGCTATCAATGCAGCTGTGGTCACAATTTACATAATTAATCAACTTGTTTTTATAGTAAAGAATACTACTTTCATAAACATTTCTTTAACATTTTAATGGGAAGGAAAAGAAGGATCAAACATCAATTACTATAATCTCTTTCAATTTTTTCTTTCATTTGTAGACCGTCATCGTTTACATGTTCTTTCATAAAAAAAACATCACAGAAGCAAATCCAAAAAAGATAGATAGATAGGTAGGTAGGTAGGTAGGTAGGTAGGTAGGTAGGTAGATAGATAGATAGATAGATAGATCAAAGTCTACAGTTTTTGACAGTGGAACAAGATTTTTTTTTATTTTTTTTTTTCCTAAAACACCTACATAATTTTCTAGAACTACCAAGATAATCTCATAATCACGATTATTAGACAAATTTTTATGTTCCCAAAACAACAATCACAAGAACAATCAAAAAAAAAATCCAAGAAAATAAAGATTCAACAAACACTTGATTAAATTTCAGATAGACAAATTAGAATTCAGATTTACAAACCCTAAATACAACATAATCTTCCCAAAATTTGAAAATTTAGAAAAAACAAATTACCTCCTCCAAATTTGGACGGTAGCTTTAAGGCGTAACTGAAGAAGCAGCACAGTGTTGTTCATAGCTAAAATTGTACTATTGCCGGGTGCAATGTAGCCGGTGAAAAATGCGGGCAACTGGAGGTTGCCGGTTATCACAGCGGCGCAGGAGAAGATGGTGACCGGCGACTGGTTAAGGTTGTTTTTCGGTGAAAACAGAGAGGAGAGAAAGAAACAAAATGGAAATTTTGCAGATATCGGAATTCCAGGCCCGTTCATTTCACCGTTTTAATTTCGAGGAACTAAAATTATTTTTGTTGAATTTAAATTACAGTATATTTTTACTTAACTGAAAATAATTTTAGGAAAATTTGTAAATTACAGCCATTTAAAGTTAGTATTTTGTAAATTGCAGCCATTTAAAAAAAAGGAAATTTTGAATTTTAGTACCTCAAAGTTGGGGTAATTGAATTTTAGTACCCATCTATTTTTTTTTTTAAATTAGTACCTCCAAAATGACAAAAGTATAGGTTTCAGTACATCCGTTACTATTCTGTCTGATTTGCCGTTTGTGGGCCCCAGCTACCAAACTTCCCTCCCTTTGTTCTTTCTCTCTCTTCGATTCTCATTCAATTCCCTCCATTTTACTCTCTTTGTCTCTCTTTGCCCTGTTCCTCCATAATCAAATGCTCAACCACATGCAATAACTCCATTGCCCAAATTCAACCACGTTTTCTTTCTCTCTCCACTGTCAATTGCTAGGTTGTAATTTTTTTTTTTTTTTTTGTTTTCATTGTACCTCTGCAATTGACTCAAAGGTGTCTTCTTTTGACTCAAAGCACACATCAGCAAGCTTCTGGGAAAGGTCAATCTTGGAGTCGTCATCTCCATTGAAAGAAGTGGGAGATTCTTCTGACAACGAACATGTATGATTTCCCCAACTTTTTGTACTGTCCATTAATGGTTTGTTGCGCAATTTTGATGAAATTTGTGGGTATTTTTGGAAAAAATTAATTAAACCCTAGATTACTGTGTTTGGATTAAAGTATCAATTTAATTGAAATTGATTTATAATTGAATGTTACAAATGCATGTGTTAGGGTATTTGTGTTGTTGCTTTATGGTAATTAGTGTAGGGTAATGCATGTTACAGTTGTTGTTATTGTTGTTTGTGATATAGAAAATTGGTTAATTAGATTGTTTATTCCTTAATTTGTAGAATCTCAAATGGATGAGCTTGATAACACTGTTGAGGAGGAGCAACACACTCTCAAAAAAGCTTGTACTTCATTAGTTTTGAGGAGGAGCCCTAGGTGGCAACAGTCCAACCTATTAACAGAAACTTGTAGTGCAGTTAGTGAGCCATTAGTGAGGAGGAGTCCTAGGTTTTCCTCAGGAAGTGAATTGAGGGTGGGAAATGATAAAGGGAAAGGGAAGCTGAGTGAAGTTGCTGGGTTGGGAAAGAGGATAGCCAAATCAGAGGGGAAAGGGAAGGGTAAGGCACAAAGGAAGCTGTTCATTGATGATGAGGAGAGTGATTCAGGTTCTTCTAGTGAGGACTTAAGTGACATAGACATAGATTGGAATCCAGGTGAGGAGGAAGAGGGTTATTCTGAAGATGAGGGATTGGGTGAGAGCACTGCTAACATCCTAGGTGAGGTGGAAAAGAGTTTGGCATTGGTTCATCCTGGGTGTTCAGGGCAGGGGAGTAAGCAGAAGTTGGATCAACTGGTGAAAGATCTAGGGCAGGGTGAAGTACAGCTTCATGAAGAAGAAACTGATGATGATGAGCTGAGAAGTGAGCATGGTTCTGATGAGGACATAGATGACAGTCCTTGGTTTAGGGAGGATACAGATTTCAAGAAACCTGTTGTGTTGGTGAAAAATCAGAAGTTCACTAACATTTTGGTGCTTAGGAATGCACTAAGAACTCATGCAATTGAAAATAGATATGAGTTCTATTTTCTACACAACAACAAAGAGAAGTTAACCACTTTCTGCAGGAAGAGATGTGGTTGTGAATGGGATTCAAAGAGGAGTAAGCTTCCTATTTGTAAGTGCAGTGAGGAAGTGAGGAGGTGCAAGTATAAGGTCATTGCAAGGCCTTTGTTCAAGAGTAGTGCTTGGCAAATCCAAGAACTGAAGTTGGAACACAATTGTATGAGGAGCAACATGAATGCCAATGTTACAGCAGAGTACTTGGCTGAGAGATATGTGGAAGAGTGGAGAAACAACCCTAGTTGGAAGATAAACAACTTTAGGGATAGGGTTTTGAGTGACTTGGGCATTAAGATTGGGTACTACAAGGCATGGTTAGCCAGGGGTAGGGCTAAATTCATGATATATGGCTCTGCTTCTGAACAGTATGCCAGAGTTTGGGATTATGGGAAGGCAGTGCAGAAATATAGCCCAGGGACTGTGGTGAATGTGGTGGTTGATGGATTGGATAGGCCAGAGCCACCACTATTCTTGAGGATGTATGTGTGCCTTTCCCCACTGGTAAGGGGTTTCTTAAAAGGCTGTAGGCCTTTAATAGGGGTGGATGGATGCCATTTGAAGGGCTCCTACCCTGGTCAGATTCTGGTGGCAGTGGGAAAGGATGGGAACAACAGCATCTACCCCTTTGCATGGGCTACTGTAGAGGTGGAGAACAAAGAAACTTGGTGCTGGTTCTTGGAGTGTTTGAAGCAAAGTTTGGATGACTTGGCAATGGGAGGTGGCTTCACTTACATGTCAGATAGGCAGAAGGTTAGTGAACTATCAATTTAGTGACTTTTTGTGGCATTTATTTTGAATTGACTGTGTTTTATTTGTTTACTCACATATAATTGTCATTTTTGTGTTTTTAGGGCCTTCTTGAGGCATTTGAGGAGGTGGTGCCCTTTGCTGAGAAGAGGTTTTGTGTGAGACACATATGGGCAAACTTCAAATTACAGTTCACAGGGTCCACATTCAAAGAGTTGTTTTGGAGTGCTGCTAGAGCTACAATATGGGTATGCTCTGTTCTTTGTTTGTTTATTAGTATGGCATTAGCTCATTTTTTGTCGTAAATCCAGATTTGTCTGTTATGTTCTTGCAGTATGTTAGCTAATATATGCCCTGTTCTATTTGTATGCTCAGTTTATGTGTTATTTGTTTGCTCAGTTTGTGAGGTCATTATGAATGCTCATTTTGTCATTAAAGTATGACTGGGCACTGTGTTTGCTCAGTTTGAATGCTGAATTTGTCATTTTTTGTGGAAAATCCAGATGTGATTAGTTTATAAGCATACTTATATGTAATTGCTTTGCACTTATTGTAGGCTGATTTTGAAATTGCAATGGAATCCATAAGGTTCCTTAGTGAGGATGCCTATGAATATCTTGACAACATCCCTGCCCAACATTGGTCTAGGCATGCCTTTTCAACTAATTGCAAATCTAATATGCTATTGAATAATATGTGTGAAACCTTCAATGCTTGCATTAGAGAAGCTAGGGACAAACCTATCCTAACCCAAATGGAATGGTTAAGGAGGTATGCAATGAAAAGACACAATGACAAGTGGGAGGGTGTGAAAAAAATTCAAGGAAAAGTCATGCCTTATGTGACTAAACTGTATGAGAGAATGGAGAGGGTGGCTAGGCACTGCATAGTGCAGGTCTCTAGGGATGACACTTATGAGGTCAACCTCAATTCAGACCAAGTAACTGTTGACCTTCAAAATAGGACATGCACATGCTACCACTGGCAATTAACTGGCCTCCCTTGTGTGCATGGATTTTCTTGTATATTAGACAAGAGAAGTGATCCAGAAGAGTATGTGGACCACTATTATACAAGGGAGAGATATTTAGAGGCATATGACTTGCCAGTACAGCCTATGCCAGGTCCCAAACACTGGGAAAAGATTCAACTAAGGGAGCCACTGCCACCACCTGTGAGAGTCATGCCTGGCAGACCTAAATCCAAAAAGAGAAAGAAGGAAAAGGGAGAGGGTGTAGCAGATGCAGCTGAGGGTACTTCACAAAAAAGGCAGAAGAGATGCCAAAAATTTGCTCAATTTGGACACTATGCAAAAACTTGCTCCAATATGCCTGCAGAAGTGAAAGAGCCTTCTTCCAAGCCTAACTCTATGGGAAAACCTGCTGTAAACACACCATGGGTGGTAGAACAGAGGAGAATCAAAGCTGCAAGAGCTTTAAACAAGGTTATTTCTGAAATTTTTCTCATTTATGTGTCATTTAGTTTGTTTTTCTTTGTCTTAATTTAGTATACATCCCCTAATTTTTGCAGACTACTCCTGGAGCATCAGCAGGACCTAACAGCATTGCCAATAAGAAGTTCCCACAAGAAGAGGCTAAGAAGAAGGCTGCTACTGCTGCAGCAAAAGCTTCCTCAACAGCTGCTGCAGCAGCATCATCTCAAGGAGCAGGAGCTGCTGCATCTCAAGGACCAAAGGCATCCTCAAAAACTGCTGCAGCAAAAGCATCTCAAGGAGCATCAGCACCCTCACAAGCAGCACCTTCTCAAAGGCCTAATACAAGGTCAAGGCAGAGTGCAGGAGCTGAGCCATACCTCTGCAGCCAAGCATCAACCACAACAACAGCAAAAAATACTACAGCAACAAGGCCAAGCAAGAAAAAAAATGAAGTGCAATTTCTGAAAATTGTTGAACCTATTTCTCTGACAGTATCCATTATGTATTCACTTTGATGAACTTATATATTTAGTAGTCACTTTTTGGACTTAGTCCCTTGTAAGTAGACATATTTATGTATATATGATATGACTCTATTTTATTAGATAAATGAAGCACATATATTTGAAGGCCAATATTTTTTGAAATTCATACATACATAAAGTGCAATATATAACTTAAGTTCAATACAAACCACAAATACAACTACAATTAAGAACCATACATAATTAGTAGGAAAATTAGTATCACTATACTTAGACATAATACCCTGGAATTCATCACCCTCCCCTAAACAAGTTTTATGACTACACAAACTCCTAAAACCATAACAAGTACACAAAATACAACAACTACAGTCAACTGAAGCCTGTCACCACTACCATTGTTGCCTGTCATCTTCTTCCTATCACCAGACAAGGCCTTGCATTTAGTCTTCAATGTGTCAACTTCATTTAGCAAACACCTCCTTTGCCCAACAAGATCATCAACCTCCCTTTGCAAAGAATTCATCTCAGACTTCATTAACTTCTTGTCAAGAGTGAGGTTGTTGATTACCTCCCTTTGCCACTCAGTTTACTCTAAGTCAACCCATTCAAAACATTTGCAACCCCTTGTCTCAGTGTTTGGATCCCAAAATTTACAAGCCTTGAACTTGCGCCCTGGATTCTCCCTCGTCCAAGATGTCAGCCTTGCTAGTGGCAACCCACAGTTACACTTCTTCAGTTTAGAGGGAGATTCAGTATTGCAGGACATTATGACTCCTGCAAACATCAAACAAAATAAAAATAGGGGCATTAGACAAAACACACTACAACAACAACAACACCACTTAGACACACCATGCATCACACAAACCTTGTTAAACTGGTGGCTGAGCACCATTATAGGGATAGCCAGGGGGTGGCCAATTCCCATTCTGTTTCTGCCTAAACTCCCACATACAATCTGCCAAGAACCCAGGATCATCAGTGGTGCCCACATGAATGGTGTAGATGTCCTTATTACCAAGCCTCCTAATCATTTTGAACACATCCCCATCATCCTCTAAATCCCTATATTTCCCTTTATAAATGTACTGGAATCTGGGAAACAAAATATCTATAGATCCTTCTACTGGATCGTCCATTTCACGCAAACGGTCTTCCCACTCTAAGCATTTATCCATCAAGTTGTCTTTACCTATTTCTACTTCAATGTCAATCACTACACTCAAGAACTTATATCTGAAAACTGATTAGGGGATTTCGCTCCCACCAATCGGAATGCGCCACGTGGGCCAATCAGGTCCTGCCAAGTGTCCCCCAGTTGGATCTGTCAGGGCTTGCCACGTGGCACGCGCTTATTCGTCCACCTTGGACCTATTATGTCATGACACGTGGCATACTCCATGCCTAATGGAGAAACCGGCCACCCAGGCCCAACTTCCGAGGGAAGCCCAATCAGCCCTAGGTTAACCTAAACCTAGGATTGGCACGTTTCCCAAGGTTATAAATACCTTCCTTAATCCTCATTAAGGGGGGAGGACAGGAATTACATGCTGATTACGCTAAAAACTCACATTAAACACTCTCACCTAGAGAGACCCAATCACTTTAATTTCCGCATTAATTACTCCTTAATCAAGTACTAACTTGACCGTTGGAGGCGGAGCTCCCACCACCAGGAGTCTCCGTTGTTTTGCAGGTACAGGCGTCCGGTCCCAGTCTCGGAATTGTAACTCTCCCGCAGGACATCAGAAAACCCCGAAACATTTGGCGCCGTCTGTGGGGAGAGTACTTCTGAGATGGCATCCAAGTCTGTACCGACTCCTGAAGAGAGGCGTCCCCTAGACGACCCTCAAGTTCAGTCGGACCACGATACTGAGAGTGAATTTGAAGTTGAAGCTCACACAGCTTCAGACGGGACCCTAAGGGCCCGACGTACCCGTCATACCGAAAGGAGGGAACGGGAACATCTTCAAACTGGAAGTGAGCCAGCAGGCGCACCGCCTGTTCGGCAGCAGCCGACTGATGGGTCTGCTCCCATCACAAGGAACGAACTCATGACCTTCATGAGGGACTTCAAGGGAGAAATTCAAGAGTTGATCAACAAGAATCCGCCTGCTCTGGACAAGGAGCAGTCGGCTAAGAAACCTTCCACTTCACTGAAGAGGAAGCCAGTTCAAGGGCGAGAGGCGACTCCTCATCCTAAATCTAGGAAGCAGGAGCCGACTGCCCTTGATTTCACAAAATACCGTTTTCCTACTCCAGGAAATAGGAAACCTGTTCGTCATATTCAGGCGGACGGGTCGAGGAAATCATACACAGACGCTCGGCTACTGCTAGAGCAGAAGAAGAGTGACCGATTGTCAGAGTCGGCCTCTACTTCAAACTTCCAAGACAGTCTGCGAAATACCTCAATGAGGCATACTCAGTCGTATCATGAGAGTCAGTCAGGCGGCACCTCCCGTCAGTCCGGCTTTCATAGCGACCAGGCGGTACCAAACTTACCGTTTGTACCGCAACAACAGTATTTTTTACAGCCACCTCCGTTTGGTGGACAAGCAGCAAAAAATGTCCAACCTATGGACTGGCAGCTACGGTTGCTTAGACTTGGTGAACAGCCGTCGGCCTTCTCCAAGGAAATTACTGAAGCTGCTCAGCCGGCCAAAGTGAAAAATGTATTAGTAGGCGCCTATGACGGCACTACTAACCCAGAAGACCATCTGATGGCATTCACCAACCTGATGTACCTTCAAGGGTTGGATGATCCCACCTGGTGCAAGTGTTTCCCAGCGACTCTCAAAGGAATTGCATAACAATGGTTCGGCAACCTGCCGACTGGTTGTGTAAATAGCTTCAGGACGCTTGCTTACTTATTCACCTCCAACTTCGCCATGAACATCCCTGCGAAGAAGACGACCCTTGATTTAGGAACAATTCAGCAGGGCGAGAAGGAGGGGCTTCGTTCTTACATCAGGCGGTTTAACCTGATGAGAATACAGATTCAAGGGTTACCAGATGAAGTAGCCTATACTGACTTTTTCAGAGGTCTCAAAGACGGGTCGACCTTCAAATTTGATTTGGTCCGAAAGAGGGTGGTGACTCTTCAAGAGGCCTTGATTGAAGCGGAAGCCTATATACAGGCGACTGATCTTTGTACGGTAAAACAGTCGGACGGGAAAAAGTTCGACAAAAGAGAAGGACAGAAACAGTCGTCAAACAAAGACGAGAAAAGAAAAGAGGTCTGGGCGGCTGATTCCTCTAAACAGCCGGCCCAGAAAAAGAAAAAAGAATTCAAACCATACTCCCCAAAGTATGCGTTTAACAAGGATAGCCAGTTTATCCTAAAGGAAATCAAGGGACGGATCTCAATTGAGAAGCCGGTCCCCATGAAGGGTTCTGCAAACAACCGGAACCAAGATAAATTCTGTGCTTATCATGAAGATGTTGGTCATCACACCAATGAATGCATCAGTCTCATGCGGTATCTGGACCGCCTGGCTGAACAAGGTGATCTTGACACTTATGTCAAGAAATCTACGGGGAACACTTCCTCGAAAAAGCAGTCGGCCAAAAAGAATCAACAGGCCGACAGCTCCGATACAGATGATGCAGTCGT